GGCATTTCTATTCATCATATTGGTTCATCATCCTTGCACACTCTTCACACTTCTTTTCAGCTGCGAAATGTTTTACATGTTCCTCACATGAAACATAATCTTTTGTCTATGTATCAGTTTCTTAAGGATAATAATTGTTTATTGACATTTGACTCTTATGGATCCACTGTCAAGGATCGTATTTCGGGGAGGATGCTTTTGCAGGGACCAATTAGAAATAGATTTTATCCTCTTCAAGGTTCCAGCAACTCTTCTATTCCATCACATTTAGCTTTGCTCAGTCTTAAAGCTCCTGTTAAAGTTTGGCACAAGCGCTTGGGTCATCCTTCCTCCTCTATTTTCAGAAGGGTAATATCTACTAATAAACTTGCATTACAAGGCAAGTCCACTGTTGATTTTTCTGCCCAGATTGTGCACTTGCAAATAATCATAAGCTTCCTTTTGGGGTAGCTTCTGCAACAACAACTCAAAATTTTTAACTTTTGCACTGTGATCCGTAGGGTCCAACATCTGTTATATCCAATAGTGGTTTCAAGTACTATTTACTTCTTATTGATGACTTTAGCAAATATAGCTGGTTCTTTCCTTTGGAATCCAAGTCGGATGTATTTTCTATATTTGTTGTCTTCAAATCCTATGTAGAAAATTTACTTGGAAATAAAATCAAAGGTTTACGTTCAGATTCAGGGGATGATTTACCAGTCACTCTTTTGCATCATTTCTCAGTAAACATGGCATTTTGCATCATTTTAGTTGTCCCCATACCCCTGAACAAAATGGTTGTGCCGAGAGAAAGCACAAGCACCTTGTTAAGACAGCTCTAACTTTACTTGTTGCTTCTCATGGTCCTCATATATTTTAGGTTGAAGCATTCTCCACTGCCATGTATTTGATTAATCGACTTCCCATCTTTGGTATTTCAAAGTCATCATGGGAACTGCTATTCAATCACCCTTCAGACTACTCTAAACTTAAAGTGTTTGGTTGCCAATGCTTTCCTTGGCTCAAACCTTATGTTCAAAATAAATTGGATGCCGAGAGCAAAAGTTGTATATTTTTGGGATATAGTCTTCAACATAAAGGCTATAGGTGTTTTGATCTCCTAACAAATAGAATTTACTTCTCCAGGCATGTTGTATTTGATGAAACTACTTATCCATTTCAATCACTGCAGTCTCAAAGTTCAAACCAAGATGCTTTGCATGTTTTCAGAAAGTTCTCCATCTATGGATCTTCATTTTGGCAAATATATTGCTAATATCCCCACTACTAATGCATCACCAACACCACCATATGTTTCTACCCCTGTTCTAATTCCTCCGAGTTCATCATCTACTGGCACCATCTCAATACCTACTTCTTCCAGTTTTGTTTCTATTTTATAACCCTCAACTTTGCCACCAAGTCAGCCAAGTCATCCTCCTATCACTATTAATTCCCATCCCATTATTACAAGATCCAAGGCTGGCATATGCAAGTCTAAGTCTCAGGTTTATGCAGCAACAAAGCATCCTCTTCCAATTGATCTTGAATATGTTCCTAGTACCTACTTACAAGCTTATAAGCATGCTCACTGGCGAGCTGCAATGCAAAATGAATACAATGCTTTGATCTCTACTAGTACTTGGTTTTTAGCTCCCCCTCATCCTTCCCAAAATATAGTTGGATGTAAGTGGGTGTTTCGGGTTAAGAAAAAGCATGATGGCACTATTGATAGGTATAAAGCCTGTTTTGTGGCAAAAGACTTCCATCAATAATAAGGCATTGACTTCTAAGAGACTTTTAGTTCGGTTGCCAAGCTAATTACAATTCGAATTCTTCTTACCCTTGCTATTCAATATAATTGGTTTCTCAACCAATTGGATATAAGTAATGGCTTCCTTCATGGAGACTTAAAGGAGGATGTCTACATGCAACAACCTCCACGTTTTGTTGCTCCTAACTGTCCTAGTTACGTTTACAAGTTGAGAAAATCTCTATATGGACTCAAACAAGCTCCTCGAGCTTGGTTTGATAAACTGTTCCAAGCCCTTCATTATCTTAGATTCAAACAATCTTCCTTTGATGCTTCCTTGTTTGTTCTTAATGGCCCTCACTTGGTTATTGTCCTTGTGTATGTTGATGATATCCTAGTCACTGGTCCAAACTCTCAACTCTGTCAACATTTTATTCAACAACTCAGTTCTCGGTTTCCAATGAAAGATCTTAGTCCCTTACACTATTTCTTGGGCTTAGAGGTACACAGATCCTCACATGGCATATTTCTTCATCAAACCAAGTACTTACTTGATCTTCTTAAGAAAATAAACATGGAGGGTGCAAAACCCTGCTGCACACATCTTGGTTCCAAGAAATTAGATCACAGTGGGCCTCTCTTGTCCAATCCCACTGAATATCGTTCCATTGTAGGCACTTTACAATATCTAACTTGGACTAGATCGGACCTTACCTTTGTTGTGAACAGATCTACCAATTTATGCATGCTCCCAGGGAACAACATCTTCAGGCAGCTAAAAGAGTTCTCAGATTTCTCAAAGGCACTATTTCACATGGTTTGTGGTTCACCAAGAGTCCAGTCCACCTTTCAACATGCTCTGATGCTGATTAGGCTGGCTGCACATTTAACAGGCGTTCTACTAATGGTTATTGTGTGTTCCTAGGCTATAATCTCATTAGCTGGAGTGCCAAGAAACAAGGTATTGTTGCTCGATCATCTACAGAAGCTGAATATTGCTCGTTAGCTCACACAGCTGCAAAAATCACTGGGGTTTGCAAAATTCTCAGAGATCTTTATTTTCCTCTACCTACACTGCCTACACTTTGTTGTGACAACATCTTAGCAATATCCTTAGCATGCAATCCCTTATTTCACGCTAGCACAAAGCATGTTGAGATAGACTACCACTATATTCGAGAATGGTTCTGGTTAATCTCCTTAAAGTGCAATTTGTTTGCAGTGAAGACCAATTAGCTGATCTTCACACCAAGTCCCTCTCTAAAAGCAGATTCGCCTATATGTGTTCCAAGCTTCCAATTGGAACCAGTTCTAATTCCCCTTCTCACTTGAGGGGGTGTATTCAGGAGAATGACAAGTCATCCATTTCAATTACTTTTAAAGAGTGTGTTAAAGCTAAATGTAATTAGTTGTGCGAATGGTTGTGATTAGTTATAGTAGTTATGAGATTAGCTAAGGCAATTAGGGGTATTTATGTAAATAGGCAAAGCCTATATATATCTTCACAGTGTACAATCCATTATTCAGTTAATACAATTGAAAACTTACAGAGGAAGTTTTCTGTTTCAATAAAGAAATGCAATAACAGAAGGATAAAAGCCAAATAGAAAACAGTCTAAATGCACACTAAAGAGTTAATTATCAAAAAAGATTTCAATTTTTAGTTTTTTTAAAATTTGAAAACAAAAATTGAAAACAAGATGGTGATCAAACCGCCAAATGTTCTTCAATATTTCTTTTTCTTCCCACATGTAATTGAGCTATGCAACAATATGCAGAGAAAATCTTTAGTGTGCTTAGAACATGGGGTGGTACACCCGTGTTACTATACAAATAATGAGATACTTGTGTTAAAAAATTAACAACTTCATAAAAAATAAAAAATAAAATCTCTCCACCTATATATATAATGATACGTGATGACCATCCGTGTTCCTAATACAATAAAAATTTCTTCAATATGCATGACCAAAGGACAAGAGTACTGGTCCCATACATGGAGAAGAGATCCGAAAAGGATATCTTCTCTCACACATGTTCCAATATAGGACAGATGATTTTCGACGCGCCTTTAAAAAGTTCTTAACTTATAATTGCCGTTGGATCATAGAAATCAATGAATAAACCTTTTCTTTTCCTTTTAATTGTCCTATTATGTCACTTTTAAATCATTCATGTTTTTTCTGGACATCACTGTTCATCAATGCTCAATTGTTGAGTCGAACTCTCTCCTAAGGTTAGAATAACGAGCGTAAGACGAAGATTTTGAAGTGTTAATATTAATTACCTATCAATTTCATTGTGTAGATATATATCCTTAGTTTTCTTTGCCAAACAACTCCAACATACTATATACCTAACCCATTGACTAAAACTATCATTCATCAATGGGTGATTGATTTTGTTTAAATCCAATTATTTTCTCAACTAGATTATCAGAAAATATTTAAATTAAGATTTAAAATGAGTCTTGTCACCAATGCCACTGATCATGCATGGTGCTGAGTCTTCTGACGACCAAGGTCGGTGTTGTGGGTCTACGAGGGCAAGAAGGATAAGCCGTGTTTCTTGATAAGTAAAACCTTATAAAGAAAAGGCTGATTAAGTTGATTAGTTGGGTAAATAGGATCATCCTATGAGAAACCCGTGTAACCAGTGACTGATTTGATCATTCAATTTTAAGAAATATATAAAGACATTATTTTATTTTATTTTTTAAAACCGATCTTTTTACACTAAGGGAGATCAGTTTAACTCCACAATAAGTTAGTAATAACGTGGTTCGAATTCGTCTTTGACGATAATTAAACTTAAAATCTCTCACTTACAAGTGAACATGAGTACTACTACACCATAATACTAAGTAGCTATATGGACACATTATTAACAATCAAAATGTCTTATCATTAATTATCAATATAATTCGATGTGTTTATCATTACTAAATTGCATAATAAGTAACTCACCACATCATACTCAAGTAAAACTTTTCTTAAAGCAAGTGTGTAAGATTGCACAAACAAACAAGTTGATTCTAACGTGACATCCTCTTATGTTTCAATGGGTAATACTAGAGAAACTAAATTTTTATACCAAATTTATAAATTAAATAATGTGTCACAAAAAAATTAAGCACATTAATAAACTAATAATCTAATTATTAACGTCTACATTATTTAATTCACAAAATTTTAATTTAAAAATTTACCCTCCCTAATCTAACTTTTCTCAACTGGGAGCAGAAAAGTAGTAAAGCAAAATTCCGCCCAAACCAAGTGGCAACCAGAAAACCAAAAAAACCAAACCAATTAGAGCAACAGTCGCAAGCAAACACTCCTACACTCTCAGGGAACTCGATAAAAGCAGCAAAAAGCCCCAAAACCCAACCCCTTTCCTCTTTGATCCTCCCAAAACGATCGCCAAAACCCCCGTTCTGTTCATCTTCTCCTTCTCCAATCTTACTTTCCTCATCAAAGGAGCTTCCTTTCTGCAAGAGGAAGGCAAGGATGGAGGGAAAAGAGTAAAGGGTATATAGGCATTGATGTCTTATGGCATGCCAGAGGAAGAAGAAGCACTGCATTGAATTGAAGGGTTTGAAGGGTCTCTACTTTTGGATCTTTGCCAAAGCTTGAATCTTTTCGTGCTGGGTTTTTTTCTGGGACCATGAAAAGCTTCTGGTTTTTTGCTCAGTTTGTTCTCGTCTTCCTGGTGTTCTTCCCTCCGATTGGTAAATTTCTTTCTTTGGTTTGAATTTGATCATAGATTGTTGATTTGTAATTGATTTGTGGAGTTGGTATTGATTTTTGACCGTTATCTGCTGCAATTTGATGAATTGGATGGTTATAGAACAGTAGAGTCTGTGTGTGTATATATGTGTGTGATTGTTTATAGTGGAAAAGTTTTATCTTTGGAAATTGGGTTTGAGTATTTTGGTGATTCTTGACTTCGATTGCTTTCTGTTGGAAAGATTGGTAAATCTTGATAATTAGGTCTATATCTGTGTCTGTTGTAAGTGAGGATTGATTGGCTTTCTGCTTTATTGGTTATCTGAAGTTGTTTTTTGTAGTTTCCTCAGTGAAAAATATTCAAACTTCTGGGTTTCTGTTTTTTTTGTTTGTTTTTAATTTGTTTCATAATTATGAAAACAAACAATATTATAAAGCCTTGTTCTTGTATTGATTTAATAGCATGACCACTTGAACATATTAATGGAAGTATTCGGCTTATTTCGTATGTATATCATCATCTGTGGTGGAGGATTATGTACAATGATCAACGTTTCTGTGGCTCACTGCCATATTTTACCCTCTTTTTTTTTTCTTTATTATACAGGTTGGCAAAAGATGTCTTATTTATTAACAATTTTTTTCTAAACTATTTAGAGGGATTCGTAGATGACCTTTTCATTAGTTGTATTACGTATTGAAGCTTCTCGTCAACTAGTAGCGGTTATGGGCAATCTGATAATTTCCCAGTTGGTGTACTTCTCCTTTTCAAAGTTAAATGCACACGATACGTACAGTCCTTACAATTTGTTAGAATCTTGAAGAAGAAAACTAGAGTAAAATCTACTATTTTTATCGTTTCAGGAAAAACTGAAAATTTTCAGTTTAATGGTTCCATTTAAAGTGGTGTGCTTTCAAAAAACTATAGTGTAATATGCCGAAATTGGTTCTGTAAATATCTGCGTGGTTTACTACACTAATAGTTATATTAGTTTTAGTGTAAAACATGGAACTTAGTACTTTTTCATCGTTTTTCATTACCACATGACCACATGATTGACGATGCTGTCTCTGTTATTTCCCAGCCTCTGTGGCGGTGGAAGCATTCACTGGAGCATATGGAATAAATTACGGAAGAATTGCAGATAACATCCCTTCTCCTGATAAAGTTGCTACTCTTCTCAGAGCAGCAAAGATAAAGAATGTCAGGATATATGATGCTGATCACAGTGTTCTCAAGGCTTTTAGCGGGACTGGGCTTGAGTTAGTGGTAGGGCTTCCAAATGGGTACCTGAAAGACATGAGTGCCAATGAAGATCATGCAATGGATTGGGTTAAAGAGAATGTGCAGGCGTTCCTTCCTGACACGCATATCTGCGGGATTGCTGTGGGTAATGAAGTTTTAGGTGGGGTTGATTATGAATTGTGGGCAGCTCTTTTGGGTGCAGTCAAAAACATCTATAATGCGATAAAGAAGCTAGGATTAACTGATGTAGTTCAGATTACTACTGCACATTCACAGGCCGTTTTTGCTAATTCTTATCCTCCCTCTTCATGTATATTTAAAGATAATATTAAGCAGCAGTACATGAAGCCGCTTTTGGAGTTCTTCTCAGAAATCGGGTCTCCCTTCTGTTTAAATGCTTACCCATTCCTTGCCTACATGAGTGATCCGGAGAATATTGATATTAATTATGCTCTGTTCCAGAAAACTCAAGGAATTTACGATCCAAAAACTGACCTTCATTATGATAACATGCTCGATGCTCAGATTGATGCAGCGTATGCAGCATTGGAAGATGCTGGGTTCAAAAAGATGGAAGTTATTATTACAGAGACAGGATGGGCTTCACGTGGAGATGACAGTGAAGCTGCCGCAACTGTAAATAATGCAAGGACATACAATTATAATCTACGTAAAAGGCTAGCAAAGAAAAAAGGGACCCCTATGCGGCCAAAGTTTGTAGTGAAGGCATACATTTTTGCCATTTTTAATGAAGACTTGAAACCGGGACCAACTTCTGAGAGAAATTTTGGACTGTTCAAGCCTGATGGGACGATTGCATATGATATTGGGTATCGTGGACTTGTATCATCATCTGCAGATTCGTTGCGGTTATCTTCAAAGGTACAAATTTTCTTACCTCCAATAAACTAAATCATTTGAATGCTAATGTCTTGAAGATTGGGTTGCTTGTTTTGGGTTTTCCCTAAAACTAAATGAAATATGGTTTGAAGAAACAGTGATTAAATTCAAATTCCATTGCTTTTCCTTAGATTGTCATTGCAATGTTTTTGTCTTTGCCTTTAGAAATAGGGTTAGATTAGATGCATAGGAAACATAAAAGCATTTGGGTTTAGAATTGAAAATAGGAGTACAAACACCATAACGAAAGGTGCCTAATAAACTGAACAGTAGGATATCGACCTCAATATGAAGATGTGCGCCTTTGTGATCCTCTAAAATATAAAAGAATTTATGAGATTTTCATCACGAAAGCTTTTTGCCTTGTGTAACATTTTTGAATTTCAGCCGTTGTGATCTTGCTAAACAGGTTTAAACGATTTTTATTACCTGAGTTGCTATATTATTGGAAGAGCTTCCTCGTCTCATTGGTTTATTTATGTACGCTATGTTACAGGACATTGGAGCTCAAGGTTGGCCTCGGTTGCAATTCTTGATACTATCAATTTCTTCTGCAGCATTGCTTCTGTTTTTAGGTAATGATTGAGCGAAGCGGGCAGCAGCAGTCGGAGTTCAGAGCTCGACTATCATCTCCTTCAAAGTACAAACGCCATAACAGAACCGATTCTTAAGTTTCGTAAACTATGTGCTAGCAGCTAGCTATTGCTTATTAAGTATATATACTTATGAGGAAATGTATATCAGTTTTGCTTCTTACAAATCACTATTCTTCCATTACCTCCAAGCTTCTTGGGGTTTACATTTTATGACAGAAGAACTGTTTATTTTCTCCTTTACAGACAGTTGTTTGTTTCTGTCGATGTGTGCATGAGGAGAAAAATGGTTTATGAAAATCACATCCCGAAGAAGTATCGTTGGATAAATGACGGGAAAAAGAATGTCTACGGAGTCATAATGTTCATTCGTAATCATAATGTTCGTCGTATTAATCAAAACAGTAATGGCAGCCACGACATATTAAAATATAATAATAGTAATTAAAAATCTGCTTGTCTGGAAACGAAAAAGTCATACAAAATTAATTATGACAAAATAATATAAAGTTGCCAACAAATGAGTCACGCAAAAGGAGGAGATAAACATTGCAAATTTAATATGCTCAAGGGGAGTATATACATTGGCTCATATTATAGGGAGGGTGGCAATACAAGATTCTTATTGATTTGGTCTCACACACATCTATTTGTAATAAAAACAAATTTTGCCTACCCTTCAAGGTCTCCTATTTGATTCTCAACCAACATGTAATTAGTAATTAACAAAGATCGGAGTCGAAAATTTTCATATAAGAAGGCGGCTATAATTTTCTCTCCCCTCTACTATGAGCTGTTAAGTTGGTGGTCCCATTTTTAGTTGTTTGGGGTGGGCTAATTTTCACTACGTAGAGCACCAAAAATTTCGTTTACCCAAATTGTTCACTAAGCTAGTGCCACCTTGGTCCATGAGTGGCTTCGCCTTTGTGAATTATTAACTGAAAGACACGTAATGCTAAGATTAAAAACATAAAGATGGAGTTGGAGAAGTTTTTTTAATGTTAAGATCATACAGTTTAATTTTTTTTAATAGTCCGGACTACTCAATAGTATAAGGAATAAACAGTTGGAATGTAATTGAGAAAATACTATTTTTGCTTACTTGTCAATCTAATGCATGTAAAGCCGAACTACCTAGTAATCTAGACAATTGAAGATTTACCCTTTATTGTCACAAGATAATACTAATTTACGTTTTATAAACAAGTTATTATTACAATTTCAGCATGGTAAGAGTTCTTCCCAATAAATTTATATGCCTCAATGTCTCCCATATGATTATCGTTGACTTTTTCCACACGTTTCCAATCATTGACTTTGGCTTCACATGCTGATAATGTCATATTAACAACCCCTTTGCAACCACTATCCAATTGCCAAATGGTGCAAGCAAGGTTTGTCCCTCTCTATGTCTATATATTGAAAAGAGAAGCAGAAATGCTAAAACACACCAAACAGGTAGCTTGATAAGCGGGGGCAACCTGTGAACACGGATCCCAGAGAGTTGGAAAGATGGCGCACAAAATGCTTGGTTATGTGACAGTTTTTGTTGTGTTAGCGGCAGCAGCACTGGTCATAGAACGAGCAGAAGCTGAATCATACACAGTTGGTGATGATCTTGGTTGGACCAACATTGTTGATTCCAACACATATTCTTCCTGGGCTGCTAATCACACCTTCAAAGTTGGCGACACTCTAGGTAACCCAAAACTCTTACCTTTTTTTATTAACCTTTTCTGATTAGTTTATGAGTCGTGTGATAACCCCTTCATTTTTATGTTTTGAAAACCAAAAATTAAAAGCTACTTTGGTGACTTTTTTAAAAATTGGCTTGATGAAGTAGTTGTTAAACGAGCTGACGGTTTAAGGCTAGTGATTTCAACACTCATTCTTTAGTTTCTTGTACTGCTCTTGTGAGAGCCGAGAAATCGTAAAATATGCAGTTGAAGTGCGGATGACTGAAAAAGAAGTGTGAAAATGCTACTTTTTACTATTCGTACAAATGCAATATGATCTTAATTTGGTGTTTTTTGGCAGTGTTCCAGTTCTTAACTGGACGACATGATGTAGCCACACTTACAAAGAAAGCGTATGATGAATGCAGCACCACCGATCTCTTGGGCGTACTAAACCAAGGACCTGCCAGTTACAACCTCAACGAAACCGGCGATTACTACTTCATCTGCACCATCTCCGGCCACTGTAACGATGGTCAGAAGTTGAGCATCAAAGTGACAGCTAGCCCTGCCCCACCACCTTCTCATGGCCCTGCCAAACCTCCTTCTCATGGCCCCGCCCAACCACCTTCCCATAGCCCTGCCCCTCCTCCGTCTGACACTACGGCTCCTGTGTCGCCACCAACCACAACGCCTCCTCTTCCTTCTGACACTGAGACTCCTACGTCACCACCAACCACGACGGCGCCTCCTCCTTCTGACGCTTCTTCCCTTGCTTCTACTTTTTCTACTGTTTTCGTGTCCATTCCCATTGCTCTTTTCTACCTCTTCTAGTACTCGTGTTCTTGAGTATCGAGTGTTAATTTTATCTCAACATTGTGAGTCCAATGCTTCATGCTGTATTCTCAACAAGACTTCCATCGATCCAAAATTCATGATAATTTTAATTTGATCTTTTGTGTTGTTTATACTCCATATATGCAACAGAGAAATTACAATTGTCTGCAGTGATACTTAACGCAAAGTTCCAAACATTATTCAGGGAATACGTGCCTTAATGCACTTGGTCAACTCAATCATCTTGACTTGGGCTTGAGCATTAGTAGATTATTTTTTCACAGCAATTAGAACTATCTATTGGCTTAAATGCCAACCTTCTTCACTTTCTTGGTTAATATTTTTTAAAACACATAATTGAAACACTTATCGACACTTTCTAATATAAATGGATCCTAAAAATTATTGATAAGGTTTGTCTGTACAAGAAAGTGTGTTAGTTTTGTGTGTCTAAATATTATTTCCCAAATTATAGTTTTGACATTGGGTTCAATATCTATATACATTGCTACCCAATTTATGCTCTAATTAAAAAATTAAGAGAATTTGAGTTATCATATAATTTAGAGGGGGACCATTAATATATATATATATATATATATATGAAGAACATGGCTTCTATGCATTTTGAATTGCTTCTCTAGAAGAATTTTTTACTTAGGCGAGGAATCAAATCATGTTCATATTCCTCATGGATCTATGATGATAAAATATCGATGACCACTGTCTAAACTAGAATTTTTATGATAAAAATGGACATTTACATGCAAATTGTGGTAATTTGGAGTTAATTTAAAAGAAGTACTCTTCGACCTTTGATTAGCTTATGCGTTAGTGTTCAACTTTTCTATTTCAGTCTCATTTTTAGAAGTTATTGGACCTGAACTTATAAAATTGGGAACATAAAGGGTCGACAACTGACCCAAAATTACCATTTAAAATGCCCTATTTCTTAATTGAATGAGGTGGCCAATGTTATATCTGTCACAATTCTTTGCTAGGGAATCAGCAATGCCATGGCCTGCAGGTTAGTGTTTTATATACAACTCAACATTCACAAAAAATGTTTCTAGTCCAAACATAATTAACATCGACGCCTGCTCATTGAAATATCCCTATACGGATATTCGGACGTACGTACCAGTTAATTAGTGATTTGTACTGCACCTCGCATAGGGTAGCTAGCTTGCAATTGTCGGATGTCATACACAACGCATTTTGGTCGGCCGCCCTCAACCGCTTCCTAAAATCCGAGAAGTCTCCCCAGTATAAATTCAGACCTCCAACATCCCAATACCGCACTGCTAAATTCCTTTGTACAAGAAACAACACGAACACGAGAATTAAAAGATGGTTAAACTCATGAATGTGAGTAATGTGGTTGTCCTTGCTCTAGCAGTGATTGCCACAAGATTGCTACTTGGAGCAGAAGCTGGAGAATATACAGTGGGAGATGAGTTGGGTTGGACTATTCCTCCTGGTGGCGCTGCTACGTACGAAGCATGGGCTGCCAAGCATAACTTGTCCGTTACTGATTTTATAAGTGAGTTTCTTTACTTTCCGCTTATTATTTACTTTTAGGAGCCGTTTAATAATCATTTCGTTTTCAGTTTTAATTTTTTGTATTTTTTTTTTAATTGAAAACTTGTTTAGTAACTAATTTCGGTCTTTATTTTTCACAAATATTGTTATCAAACCGGTCTGTAACTGATCATGATGATGACGGTTATGATGATAATGATCATGCATGATGATGATATTGATGATATGATTTGTTTGTGCAGACTTCAACTTTAAAGTTGGAGAACAAGACTTGGCTATAGTAACCAAGAAGGATTACGACGCCTGCAACACGGACAACCCCTTATTTGTATTCAAAGAAGGCGGAGAGTTTCAGTTTGTTCAGTCGGACACATATTATTTGACCTGCACCTTCGCCGGCCACTGCACCAAAGGTCAAAAGATTGCTCTTTATATTGCTCCCGCTTTTTCTCCTTCTCCAAGTCCATCTTCATATCCAAGTGAAAAAACTGCTGCTCAACATGCTAATGCAGTCAAATTTGTTTCCAAGAAAGGTTAAGGGCTCAAGAAATTACTGCCTGTGATGATGAAGTCCCTCTAATTCCTTAATAGCTATATAAAACTTGGGTCCTAGTTAATTATATACCCTTTACCAAAAAAAAGTTAATTATATGCCAAGAGGAATAATAATATTTACGAATAACAAGAGGTACTTGGTATTTTGTAGTTGTATCTAGTGCACATATGTCTTGGCATTTTTTTTTTCGTGGATTAATTATTTTGTAACAGAATAAAACATTTTTCTGGGTAGTGTTTCAATGCTCATCAAAAGATTCCCTTGCGATGATTCAATATTATACGTATGCATTCTAGTTTCAAACATCTGCCTAACAAGAAAATTCACTCCAAATCAATTTGTTGGTCACTGTAGCAATGTACCCAATTGACACTTGTAATTGTTTGTGTTGATCATGAATGAAACACTACTCTACTTTGTAAAAAAAAATATATATATATATATATATCATAATTAGAACAATTCTATATCTTAATCTTCAATGGAGATCATACCTACTAAAAATCATTCGAATTAGAGATCGTTTAGACATTCAAATGTATCAAATAAATCAATGTTGTAAGCACCAAGTAGCATGTTAATGTTAATTAAGAAATTGAATGGTTTCAGTTATGAAATTTTTATGGTTAAGATACATTATTTGTAAGTGAGAGAATGAGTTCAACTACCATGGAGGAATCCAAGTATTACTAGCCTCTCTGCACGCACTAATGTGCGTGTGAGATGCATTTTTGCATCACGGGCGTTACGCGCCTCTAAATGTGTGTTGTATTAGTTTTTTTTTCCATTGTAATTGTCAATGTATATGTTTCAGAAAGTATGATACCAAGTATGGTGGTGAGGGATGAAATCTGGAAGATGGCTGCACATAACTAGAAACAAAAAATTTGAAACTGTTGACGTGGATACTCTCTCACACATAGCAATGCCTATTACGGTATTCTCTAACATAGCAGAATGTAGACAAGGAATTGATACTAGTAATGCAAAGACTTATGTGATACATACAATGAAGATTACATGAAGGCCAGCCAACTACCTTCATGGACAATGACATGATCTACTTGTAGCAGACATTAGTTGTCCGTGCTGTTCCAGGAAGACAAATCAGAGGAGGTACTGCTTTCGGGGCAAAATCATAGTATTGCCACTGCCTTGTGCCAATCTGCATACATAGTATTTCAATGTAAACATACACAGTATTTCAAAAGTAAACCCAATTATCAATAAGAAAACAGAAATAAGCAGAAACCTGCTTATCAACACACCTAAAATTGATTAATCATGTAGCTTTACAGCTCAAAAAGGGTACATACATAAGAAGCTCCACATGCAGAACCTCAACTCACAATTGAGCAACTTAGAAAAAACCTCACATCAAAATTCACAAACTTGATACAAATCTATGTCATAATACAGTTGAAAATACAAAGCACAAACATAGGAACTATCTTACAATTGGGTTTTATAAAAAGGTGAGACTAAACCCAAAAGAACAAAAAATGCAGCACTAAAATCAAACTAAAGAATCAAACCCAGGAACAAAATGACAAAAAAAAAAAAAAAAAAATTGGAGAAATTTGAAAGGGTAATGGAGAAGTGGAGGTGAAAAGAAACGTGCTGGGATCTTGTGAAGAGGGACCTGTAGATGTAATCTCCGGGAAGAGTGAGACTGAAAAATATTAAAAATGAAATGGGAAAATTGAATAAGAAGATAAAAGACCATGATCAATTACTCTGTTGCTCACTTCTTGCGATCCAAATTTGAAGAAGAATGGCGGTTTCTTCCTTCCGTGTATCTAGGCCTCTTTGTTTCTTCTATCCCTGCATTACCGACCTAAACAACATCAAACCAAGTGCAATACAATCCAATCCCATGTAATACTCAAATAAACAAAAGAGAGACCAACGTCCCTCCACCAACTACCCATAACAAAATATGTATAAAAAATATATATGCTGATCAAAAGTCCAAGCAACAAATGAGAAATTTTTCAGGCGGTGCAACCATGTAAATGAAGAAGGAAAAAGACCATGATCAATTACTCTGCTGCTCCCTTTTTGTGATCCACAGAATTTTTCGGAGCTTCGCCTCTGTAGTCCCAATCCTTTTCATGAATCTGCAAGGAACAAAGAAAATGAAAAGAGTGAAAAATCAGAATTGGACTTGGGGATTTTCCGTGGCTCTGTAAATGCCCAATCTCTTTTAACACACACAATCTCACCCATTGCGTATGATAGTCACCATTCCCAAATTAAAGACAGAAAGAAAAAAATTTAAATAAAATTAAAAATAAAAAACCCCAAAAATGAACCCTAGTTTTTTAAATTGGGAAGTTGGGTACCTGGGGAAGATGGCAATGAAAGCGACGGTTTCAGTCACAAATAGCTTAATCGAAGCAAGATGATGAACAACAAATGGGTAACTGAGATAGAGTGAGAGGAAGATCAGGGCTTACATGAAAGTTGCTGGTGCGATTGGATTTGAGTGAATTAGTGGGAAGAAAACTGCTTTGTATTTCTGCTGGTGCGGTTGGATCTGATTGAGACTACAGTTTCCTTCCATTACGCGTGTGTTTCTCGCATGGTAGTGGGAAGAAAACTGCTTCTACTATTTTGTTAATTTTTTTTTTTTTGTTTTTATGACAAAATTATCCCTACTATTTTGTTTGTATTATTTTCAGCTAGTTGTGGAATATTTTTGTTTGAGGGGCTTTATAGTTCAATTATTTTTATGAAGCTTTGAAACACTAAACTTTTTTTCTGGTTTAAAGATTCATGACAGAAATTATTAAATAAAGTATTATTCATCACCACTTATCTAAGTTCACCCAACCATCTAATATATTTAACTTTTTTTTTTAAGTTTTAATTAAAAAAATTTTAAAAAAATTAAAAAAAAAAAAAAAAAAACCAAATGTTCTACCGTTCATCTTCCTCTTCATTCATCTCATACCTTTCTCCGCATTCATCTCATACTACTACCGTTCTATCATTCATCTTCTTCTATCGTTTACTTTTTTATTTCTTTTCGAATCATATATAAAATTGCTGCTGTTGGGTGGGGTGTCTTTCGGTGGTGTTTTGCGGGTGTAGTATTGGTGTTGAGGAGATGATAAAATACGTACGAATACACAATAATTCACATGTTCAGATATATTATACCGCTTCCGTTCTATGATAGAACTTCTTTCATCTCTCTCTCTCTCTGTAGGATTTGCAGGTGGAAATATTCGTCAATTGGTTTTGCTCTATCACAAAAAAAAGGGTTTTGTTACTGTGAGGTAGAATCAATCCTAGTTTAAAATTAAAATTCAAACTTTTCCCACTAGCATATATGACATTCAACGGAATCAGAGTTTCAGCGAAATCAGAATCAGGTATGGCGGTGTTTATATAGGGTATGTTTGGAACAAATGTGGTGAACTTAGAGAATGTTTAAATTTAAAATTTTTAATGGGGTGTAAATAGTAATTAGGGTGAAATTAGTTAGATAAGAGATGATGTTTAGATAGAAAAACTCTTACATAAAAAGCTATATTGTTGTGGCTTATATTTAACTGACAATGAGAGGGGGGCCTACGGCATAGAGAAAATAGAGAGAGATGTGTTTGCAGAGTTGTGTAGACGATGTGTTATTTTCATGCCTTTATTTATAGTAATAAGGGAGAGAAAAAATCATTCTCCTTCAAGGAATACAAGTCATAATAGTGAAGAATAACTAGAAAAAAAAAAATCTAATCTAAGATTTACATAATCACACTTAAATAAAAAGTTTATAACATATATCAATTTTACAAGAACCTTTTTTGGGACCCTATTTTTTCTCAAACAAAAAATGTACACACATATTTGTAAATTCCCGATGGCAGCAATAAATGTATCAACAATACTTGTTTTGAAAGTGTTTGAAGGAAACAAGTAAAGACTTCGTAAAAGAAAGAGATCAACAATATCTTAATGGATAAGGTATTGGGTTTCTACTCATGAATTTCAGATTTGAAATTTCTCCGTCTCTTAAACTATTATAATAGTTTCGAATCCTCTCATCTCCTTAATAACAATACTTTTGTAAAAAAAAATCTGGTACATATAAATATTCGTGGCTCGAAGCTAGCATCTTCTGGTGTGTTTAATGCCAAATTTGTTAAACTCAAGTATTTGGTGCACTTAATTTAAGGAACTCGTAGAATTCAGATTACCTAAACAAAATTATTTGCACTATGCTTACTAGCTAATTATATTTTGCATATAAACCTTACTAATGTGAGCTTATAGTGCTGGGCTTAATTACCAGAAACAACTGATCGTGATACTGACAACTAATTTGTTTTGTTGAAACTATTATGTTAGGCAACATCGCCAAGGCCGCCCGGTTAATTTAACTTGTTTCCTGATGTGATACACAATGCATAAAACTCGTCTCTTTGGGGAATTTAGCAGCTCTCGCTCAAACGCTTCCTAAAATCCAAGAGGTATTTTTCTCTATAAATTCAGAACTTCATTGCATCAAAAACCGCACTACAAACTTCCTGCACAAGAACACAACACAAAGACGTACAAGAATTGATCTAAGATGATCAAAACCATGAATGTGATGGCCCTTGTTATAGCAGTGGTAGCAGCAACTTCGGTGCTCATGCTACATGTAGAAGCTGCAAAATATACCGTCGGAGACGAGTTGGATTGGACAATTCCTCCCGGTGGCGCTGCCACCTATGAAGCATGGGCCGCCAAGCATAGCTTAGTAGTTGACGATATTCTAAGTAAGCTTGCTATTTCCCTGAAATTTAATTTCCCTATTTTGTTTAATTTCCTAAAAATAATGGGTTAGTCTATGGTACTCATAAAAAAGGGTATTTGTCCTCTTTAATTTGAATGATGATTTTCTTACACCAATAAATGTTATTATGTGTATTTTTAATATTGTTCGAAAATTTTATTATGTGTTATTAAGTATAATCTTAGTATTACCATTATATAACCTGTAAAGTATAATGATTAATTAATCTTGTTTTGGCATTTGTATTGTAGCCTTTAACTTTGCGGTAGGAGAAAGTGACTTGGCTTTGAACCAAGGAGGACTTTGACTCGTGCAACTCGACGGATCCCTTATATGTATTCCAAGCACCAGGAGAATATCAGTTTCTTGATGTTGGTAGATATTACTTGACCTGCACCTTCGCCGGCCATAGCTCCAAAGGCCAAAAGATTGCCCTTTCCTTTTCTCCCACTTTTTCTCCTTCTCCAAGTCCTACTTCAAGTGACGGACAAAGCCAAATTGCTGCTCAAAAATCTGCTGCGGTTAAATTTGTGTCCAAGAAAGAAAACGGTTTCAAGAAACTATTTGGGTCAATTGGCTACTAGCTGTATGCCAAGAGGAAAGATCAGTAATATTATTATTACCTTGGTCCTTAGTTACTAATAACTACAGGTACTTTGTACTCTGTTCATGTAGTGCGACTCGAAATAATGAATGTATGGTGTGATTCACAAAATAAAATAATGAATTATGATTGATTTATAAGTCCACTATTGGTACTTTTTCCTGGGTTATTTTGTGAAGGGATATTTGATCTTTTGTTCTTTGTCATGTTGTAGTGATCTTCAATATTTCTAGTGAATAAAGTTACTCAGAGCCAATTTGGGATTGATGTGCTTTTTTAATAAATTACTTATGTTGTGCTTTAAGAATAATCAGTTGAGTGTTTGATAAATTGTATTTTTAAAAGTATCGTGAGTATGAAAAGAAGTGTAAAAACAGTGTCTAGAAGAATAAATCATTGCTTAAAATTAATGAGTATATTACAGGAATTAAAAATATTCTAAAGGCTCAACTCCTCTTTTTATTAAAGTAGTTTTTAAAAGCAACCTACATGTTGCTTTTAAAAGCTGCTGTTTGAATGTCATTACTTTTAAAATAAGCAGTATATTTTAATTTTACCAAATATTTTTGTACTGCTTAACTTTAAAGTAAAGCAGTTTTTTGTGAAAAAAAAAAAAACAATACCAAACTCGACCTCATTCCAATTTCAAACCTGATTTTTGCATAAAAAGAAAAGGGTAAAATACAAAAAACTACCTCAACTATTGGTCTCACAACACTATCATACCTCATCTTTTAAAATTGACAATGTCATACCTCATCTTTAGAATTTGGGCCAATGTTATACCTTCAGTTACTTGGCCGTGAATTTTTCAGTTAAATGCTGACGTAACTTGATTCGAGGCACACTGTCTATTAAAAAAATTAATAAAATATTATTAAAAACTAAAAAAGTATTATTTAATATTTTTTTAAAATATTAAAATAATAAAGAAAAGTAAAAAAAAAATTCTTTTTCTTTTCTCTCTCTCTTCTTCTTCTTCTGCAAGTTGGGTAAGGGGTAGGGACGGACGGACTGGGTTTCCTTTTTTCTTTTTCTTTTTTCCTTTCTTCTTCTTCTTCTTTCTAGGTTGCAGGTTGGCTTAGGGGGGGGACGAACTGGGTTTCCTTTTTTTTTTTTTTTTTTCTTTCTTCTCTCTCTCTTTCTTCTTCTTCTTCTTCTTCTTCTTCCTTTTTCTGCAAGTTGGGGGTGGTGGATTTGGGTTGCAAGTGTGGGAGGGATCAAGGTTTTGGGAGGGGGTGGGGGTTGGTGGGGTGATGGGATCTTGGGATCTTGGGGGGTGGGGGAGGGGGGTTGGTGCAGTGATGATATTTTTGGGGGGTGTGACAAGATCTGGGCGGGGAGGGGGGGAACGAACGGACGAACTGGATTTCCTTTTTTTTTTTTTTTTTCTCTCTCTCTCTTCTTCTTCTTCTTCTGCAGGTTGGGTTAGGGGGAACGGATGAACTGGGTTTCCTTCTTCTTCTTTTTTTCTTCTTCTTCTTCTTCTGCAGGTTGGGGGTGGTGGATTTGGGTTGCAAGTGTGGGAGGGATCAGGGTTTTGGGAGGGGGTGGGGGTTGGTGGGGTGATGGGATCTTGGGATCTTGGGGGGGGGGGTGTTGGGGTTGGTGCGGTTATGATATTTTTGGGGGGTGTGACGGGTTCTGGACGCCCAGGGGGGTTCATGTTTGGGGTTTCGAATGATGGGTTTTCAATTTTTTTTTTTGTTTTTTTTTTTTGTTGAAGATTAAGCAGGTATAGGGAAGAAGATGAAGGGGGAGAAGAGAGAGAGAGGGGGAAGGGACGAACTGAGGGTTTTTTTTTTTTACTTTTCTGTATTATTTTAATATTTAAAATTCACAGTCAAGTAACGGAAGGTATAACATTGGACCAAATTCTAAAGATGAGGTATGATAGTGTCGTGAGACTAATAGTTGAAGTAGTTTTTTTTAATTTACCCAAAAGAAAAAAAACACGATTTAAGGATTAGAAGAAACCCAATACGGATTTGGCTTGCAGTATATATTACAGTAGGGTAATGACAACAGATACTGATAAGAAAATAATCATCAAATTTTACCAAAATTGTTCAATGAAAAAATTAATCATCAACAAATTAATGTTTTCACGTGGACAAATTTGTTGCATTATGTTTACTAGCTAAATGGATAGACAAACGTCAAATGCGAGAGCATGAATTGAGATCTATCTTGTAATCCGAAATGCACCCAAAAAATAGTAAAAATCTAAAGTTTTTTATTAATAATATGAATGAACCGATCAGCTTATAAATAAAATTACATTAGTTGATTTAAACAAAGAACATAATTAAAATCCTAGTTGGTACGAAACCCTACGGGTTAATTGCTGTCCTAACAAGTTAGGACTTTTATCAAGTTGTTAGAATTCATTTTGGGGGTTAAGATAGCTATAAGATGAAGAAAGAATTTCATTGATGAAGAAGAAAAAGTCTTGCAGATGGGAGGGAGAATGCTTTTGCATGTACAATTCAACAGAAGTAATGCTACATTTATCATATTTTTTATATTATATTTGTACCAGATCTCTAATAAAAATAGTATCCGCCAACATATGTAGGTCCCAACTCTATTAAAAAATGGTACAAATGTGGTATATATGAAAATACAATAAGAGTAGCATTACT